TTATTTGTTTTATCACGTACATAGGCATAGATCCATTTTGGCTCGAATGGATCGAATAGGCAAGGACATGATCATCCCACTATGCATTAGATGTATGTTAGGTTTATTTACGCTTTCGTTTCATTAGATGACTGAAACTGGTAAATAAACGTAAAGATGGATCAGAGGACAGGTCCACCACGGCATCTTTTCCGGCCTCCTCGCCCGCGCCCGTTTCCACCACCGCCTCGGCATCCAGCTCGGCTCCTCCCTCGCCCTCGACTGCCTTCGAGGATCCGGCCTCATGGTCGTGAGTCCCCCGCAGAATCCGGGAGGGGTCGGCCTCGTCTGCAAAGTCTCGGCTCGGCAACAGGAAAGGCATATAGTCGGAGAGGGCCTCGCCCGGCTTCAGGCGCATCTCATCGGGAGGCGTCGCGCCGAAGTTGGCGAAACCGACGATCTCGTCCTCCGTCCATCCCCTCTGCCGGCGCACCAGAGCCGCCTCCTCCTCGTCCACCTCGCAGACGAGTCCCTCGAACTCGGCATCCAGTCCGTGCTTGGAGATCTTCGCTCGCATAATTTCGCGGAAGTCCTCCAAGGTCAACAGACCGGCGTCGAGCCGCTGAAAGAGCCAATAGAGATTGTAGCCGACCCCGGAGTCCATGTCAGCCATGATATCCTTGCCAAATATTTCCTGAACCTCCGGGTAAGTCGGCAGACGGAGCGAAATGTGGGGGCGGCCGTTCTCTGGAGCTTCCTGGATAACATGCTTCTCCAGCTCGGCAGTGTGCGCTTCAAGCTGCTTCTGAAGGCTGATGACGTGGGCTTGGAGCTTGTCGAGCTCGGCCACATGCCGATCAAACTCCTCAGTCATGGCCTTAGCATGCTGCTCTCCAAGCTCAAACTCTCGGGCCGCCCAGGCCGCCTCTCCTTCCTCAGCTCCTCGGCCATCCTGGCCTGCGACCGAGCAGCCTCCAACTCTTTTTCCTTGGCCTTCGCCGCCTCGGCCTCAGCCAACACCAAGCGGTTCTCCAGCTCGGAGGCCCGCTTTGCCTTTGTCTTCAGGGAGGCAATCTTCCCCTGGCAGAGCTCGTGGTCGGCCTCCAGTTTGCGGTGGTCGGCCAGGGCCATCTGGGACCGATCGGCGGCCTGGACGAGCTCGACCAAGGCGCGGGAGATGGTCCCCGCCGCGTGGTGAATGAGCGACCGGGTGGAGAGCTGGGTGGCGGCGGCCTGCGCAGTCGGGGTCCAAGCAACCAACGGGAGCCGAGCAGCCCTGATCATCTCCTCCGGAACCCCGAATTGGTTGGGGACAACCACCCCCTCGGCCGAGCGGAGGTCCAAGAACCAGTCATCCGGAAAGCCGGGCAGGGACTTAGCGAAACAAGCCCTCCGCTCGGCCGGCGCCCTTCTTCTTCTTCGCCGCAGCCGGGCCCTCACCGCCCGCACCCGGGGCCTCGCCGCCGGTCGTGCCCGGTGCCTCGCGAGCCCGTCGCCTTGTCATGCGTGGTTCCGGCGCCGGAGCGCGAGGGGCCTGGGGGACAGCAGGGACGGTGCTCGGCTCCGTAGGGGTCGGCACGTCGGCAGCTTTCGGGGCCGGCTCCTTGTTAAGCGCCGCCCTCTTCTTGGCAAGGTTCAGACGACCAGACATGGCAGCTTTTGTTCTTGTCTTGAGTTGGTTCGGGTGCTTTCGACGGTGTTTGTTGGCAGCCTTCACAGAATCAAATCCTTTGAACCTGAGAAGAGGGTAGTAAACTGCAAAAAAGGTAAAGGGCGCGGTTGGTACCGGGCAGGCATCGAAGACTAAAATGATCAACAAAGTGCCGAACCGGGTCAAGAAGCTACCTGGTTCGAAAGATTTATTGACGAGCTCGGCGCTGAGGTTGTGATCGAGAAGGACTTCTTCCTTAACTAAGTTCGAGTAGCGTCGATCCTCCACGTCCCGTGCCAGCAGAGTGCTAAGCCGTTCAGCCAAACGTGGACTGAGGGCCGAGTTGTGAGTATGGACTGAAAACGCAAATTACGACCTGTTAGCACAAAGGAAAGAAAATCAGTCGATGACGAACGAGAACAACAAAGAACTTACGAGTATGAGAAATAAAATGGGTAGGCGGGTGCCGAGTGGCATTCGGGGTCATCCACGCGCCGCCGACCCAGAACCAGTGCGGCATGTAGCCGTGCAGGGTCTCGGGCAGTTTGGCCACCAACGTCTTATCGATGCCGGGCAGCACCGAACTGTAGTAGTTGCCGGTCTCACCAGCGCGTTTGAAAGCGAACAAGGACCTCACCTCGTCGTCGGTGGGGTCGGCCCAACCCTCGCGACGGTACATGACGATCAGACTCATCAGGCGGGCAAATACCGTCGGCACATACTGGTTAATGCCGACCTCAAGCCCGCTCAAGATATCGTTGAGCGCGCCGGGTAGGGGGAACCGAAGACCCAAATGGATGCTGTGACGGTAGACCCCTATGCAGCCCGGCGGCGGGCAATGAATTCGCTCTCCAGGATACGGTGCGAACAGCCGAACACCGGGGCCGAAGTTGAACTTCCCCCTCAACTGAGCCAGATCGGCATCGTCCAAGATCGACGCTGTGTTCCAGGCCATCGCCTGGCTAGGTGTCGCCCGGATCCGCTCGGGTCGGCGCCAGAATCCCGGAGGAACAGCGGTCACCGCCTCGAGGGCGGCGTCAAACGATGCGTCCCCCATGGGGACACGCTCCCGACCGCCGGTTTCCCCTTGAAGGGTCTCATCAACCAGATCCGGATCGACATCAGAGTCGGTGTCCAGAAAATCAAGATCGACGTCGTCGTCGTCGGCTGCAGCCAAAGGGTCCTGGTCGGCACCACCGCCCTCGCGTAGCGGCGACGAGGGAAGGTCAGGTTCGACGCCACCGCCGCCGGTGGCGACTTCCACCACCGAGGGGTCCGGCCGAACAATTGAGATAGGGACGGCGGTGAGGATGACGTCCGCCGGCCGGAAAGTTTCGTCGCCCTCACCGGCGAAGTCGCCGCCGTCGCCCGCAGATCTCGGAGAAGAAGACATCGCAATCGAAGAGACGAGAAGGAAAAAGTAAGGGGGAAGAACAGGAATTACCGAAAAGTTGCCGGAGATCGCTGCTGGAAAATTCTCGAAGCTCGCCCCAAAAATCGTAAGGCTCGGTGAATTTGGAACGTTCGAAAGTGCAAAGAATTTTTGGAGTCCTTGGGAAAAGTGAAAGGATTTCTGAGAAAAGGGATATATATATAAGATTGCTTAACCAATCGGGGGAAGACACGTGGACAGGTTCTTTTTTGAAATTCAAAACTCGAAGCGGTTTCAAGTAACTGAAGTGTCTTGAGCAAGATAACCGTCATCTCCCTTCAACCGTTACGCCCCTTCGAGAATACTCGGCCCAAAATCTGCCACGTGTCCCCTCTCTTGTGTGAACGCAGTTAACGCGCACCCACGTTTGTCAACCGTTACACCCCACGTCTTCTACTACCAACCGTTGCGCCCCCACGATCGAAGTGTGTTGAAGATGCCGACTTCAAGAGGGGACGGACACGAACTCGATGGGCCCAGCTCGGATCCAACCGATCAAAGACGACCTCAGGAGAGGTCCGACGGACCACACCCGAGCTCGGGGGCCTGTATGTCAATATCCGAGTCCGGCCCCAATAAGAGGAGTCGGTCCGACATATCGATAACCGAACCGTGACCGGCCGAGTCAAAGGTGCCGGTCAACAGAGTAGCACATGGGTGCCGAGCCGATCTAAAGTCAAAGTCGTCCAGAACGGCGGGAGGAACAGACCCCGAACTCGGCACCCCATACGTAAAGATATGAGGTCGGCACCCCGTCAGAAGTCTCATCAGGACGGCCCCGGATAAAAACTCGATCTCAAATACAATAAAATAATGCCACTTGTCTACGAATGATTGCCGATGGGACGTCCAGCTCAGCCAGAACGTGTCCGCATTTAATGCAGCCCACGTTCGCATTAAATGTATGGCAGGCAATGATTGGAGAATCCGGAAATCACTCCCAATCAGTCAGAGAAGCGCCGGCTTGTCCCATTGAGTTACTGTACGACAAGATCGTTGAACAGTACCCGAACAGTGCGACATTAAAAGCTACTATAAATAGCAACCCACCTCATTTATTTTAGGTTGTTGAAACTCAACTGCTTGAGCTCATATTTTCTCTCTCTAAAAGACTTGTAAGAAACTCTTGTAAACTATATAAGTATATCACAAGTGCCGACCTCATACGAGAGGCCGACCTCGTGACCCGTTAATAAAACCGTAATTAAACCGTATTTCTTCGTCTTTTTCTCATTATTCTTTCTATTACTTGACTTTTTAACCGTTGACCGGAAACGTCCGTCAACATTATTAAATAAACATATTTTACACTTATGCATATACATATCACCATATTACTTTTATTTATTTAATATATATATATATATATATTTGTATTTATGTAATAGTAAATAATATCGATATTTTTATACGATCTGAGTAAAAAATTTCAACATTTTCATTTAATGTACGCGTGTTTAATTATTATGATTAAAAAAATATAATTTGACAATTTAATTAAAGAATTATGTTTATATAAAATTTAATTATTTTAGTTTTTTTTTTAAAAAATAATTTAATATTTTTTAAAAAAACTTTCTAATTCATAATTCAGTAATACATATAGTATAAAATAATCAGAAAGATATTTTACACTAAATCACTGTCGCATGTGCCTCCTTTCTCCAACTCTACGCAAACTCCCACTCTCTCTCTTTCTCTCTCTCCAAACGAAAACAAAAAAAAGCAAAGCAAGCAAAACCGTAAACCGAGAGAAACCAAAACGGACTGTAAAAGAAAAAAGAAAATAATTAAAAAAAAAGTAGCAGCGGAGAAAGTGGTGGCCACCGCCGTGGGTGGTGGCGGGGCCGAGCTAAAACCTTTTCCTTTTCCCCTCACTAATTCCAAATTCTCTATCAGAAAAGGGCAAAAAAGGAACCCCAAATTAAATGTTCTAAAATGACCTCCCGGCCAATCGCCGCCGCCGCCGCCCCTAACGGCCACCACCACCACTACTACCCTCCGCCGCCGACATCTTCGTCTTCTTCCTCCGCCTCCCTGCGCGGCTGCTGCTGCTGCCTCTTCCTCCTCTTCTCCTTCCTCGCCCTCCTCGTCCTCGCCGCAATCCTCGTCGTCGTCCTCGTCGTGAAGCCGAAGAAGCCGGATTTCGACCTCCAGCAGGTCAGCGTCCAGTACGTGGGCATCAGCCCCACCACCGCTTCCTCCGCCGCCGTGTCGCTCAACATCCGGATGCTCTTCATCGCCGCCAACGACAACAAGGTCGGGATCAAGTACGGCGAGTCCAGGTTCACCGTCATGTACCGCGGGATCCCGCTTGGCCGGGCCGAGGTCCCCGGGTTCTACCAGCCCGCCCACAGCGTCAGGCGGGTCGAGACCACCATCGTCGTTGACCGGGTCAGCCTGCTCCAGGCCGACGCCGCCGATTTGCTCAGGGATGCCTCGCTCAACGACCGGGTCGAGTTTCGGGTCCTGGGCGATGTCGGGGCGAAGATCCGGATTCTGGGCCTTACCTCGCCCGGTGTGCAGGTTAGACCTTCTTGGGGCGAACTAATTGTGGTTCAATTGCAGTGTTCTATGGGATGCATTTTTAATTTATGTTTTGTTAAATTTCTGTATTTGTTTGTTGCTAAATTTCTATTTTCTGCAATTGGGTTTGTTTTTCTTGCTTTCTTTAATTTAATTTCCCCTTAAAATAATTAATCATTTGGGACCTTTAATTTTCTGCTGTTTCTAAATTTGTGGAATAATTTACTTGGAAGGCATAGAACTTTTTTCTTGAAAAAGAAAAGCTACAAACAGTCTTGCTGTAAATGTGGGTCTTTTTTTTTATTTGGGTTAGGTATGTTGTCATTCGAGTTGCCAGCAGAAATGGTATGTTGTCACTTTCTATTTATTAAATTATTGCAACCCTTTGAATTTGCTTTGCTCAAGCAAAAACTCCTACAGCGTCTGGTAATTTTACTTAGTTTTTCATCCTAAATGTATCCATTTATCCTCAAGTGCGTACCTAAACGTGTAAAAAGGAGTTAATCTTCCTTATGAATGAAACAGAAAGATAAACAATGAGTTGGATTAAAATGGAGTCTTTTGAGTTGGACTTCGGTTATACGGTGAATCTATATGAGGATTGAGAAGGTGGTAAGGGTCCCGGATAAGCTTAGAACCCTACTTGTCCAAGTTCACCATTTTATTTTATTTTTTTCATTATTGGACTGTGGGCACCATCCATGTTTGTTATTTTTTTATGTTTCTTGTTATTGTGCTTTATTCCACTGTTTTGTGACCCGGACCGGCCCGGCGGGTCGACCCGGGACCCGGTCGACCCGTAGCTGGAACTGGTTCGGGTGGAGTATTTGGACCGGGCAACCAAGGACCCGGTCAAACAAGGTCAAAACCCGGCTGACCCGGCCGGGACCCGGTCGACCCGGGGCATTGACCCGGCCGGATCAACCCGGTTGACCCGGTCCATATATTTTTTATATTTTTTTTTATTTTTTAAAAATAAAACTATGTATATATGTTTTTATGGTAAATATTTATCATGAGATACATATTATTAACACTTTAGTATACAAATTTTATACACAAAACATTTAATTTTGTTACTTTTATGTATATTTATATAACAAAAATACTATATATATAATTTTAAAAACTATGCTTTATTCTCTCTTCTCTTTTTTTTTGTCCACATTCTTAGCCTTTATTAGGTTGAGGCCAGTTTTTCTCAGCCCACTTATTTTGACTTTGTTATGTTGGTTTCTCATTGTTACGCAAGTCATTCTGGTATGACGGACATGTGGAAAGGTGGGAACTATGAAGTAGAGATAAGTGTTACAGAGATTTTGATGCCTTCACAGCTAAAATATGCATTTTGTTGAAATTGTAGGATTACCTGGCTAATTTAAAACCGGCACAATTAATATTGACCTGTTGAGCAGTTTATGTGTTGAAAAAATGGACACACGATGTATTTTTGTTTGAGCTACTTATTGGTAGTCATTTCCAGAAAGCAATTCTTCTCAAATTTATAAATCACCTCACATATTTTACTCTTTGGATGAAAGCAAGTGCTTTTTCTAAGGAAATGAAAGAACACATTCGACAAATCGCCAGTGTTATGTTCCCAGATATGGAATACCATGGAAATCCTAAAACACACACACACACACACATACACACACACTGTATTCATGGTGGCTAGTGTACAAATGATCATCTTACGCACACACATGCAATATATAAGNATCGGTAGATTGTACAATAGCCATCAGTCCAAGAAATCAGTCGTTAATATACAAGCAGTGCGGATTTGATGGCCTCAGCGTGTGAATTACTCGATTACTTCTCCATATTCTCATTGGAAACTTAAAAAGAAAAGAGAAAAGAAAAAGTAGATAGATGGAGAACTTTAAAAAATGGATTCCCAGTTCCACACTGTTGGGTTTGAGCTGTTAGAAATGCAAATCCCAGTTGAAGCGCCTTTGTTGCTAGTAGATATAACATGAGCCACTAATACAGGCCAAAGATTTGTACTCCAAGGGGGTATTTTTTGTTTTCTTTGCTGCAACTTATGTTCCATATATTGTAAAATTTTGGAGTCTGATTTTTTATTTTGCTATTTCCACCCTTTTTTTTTTTCCTTTTCTTTCTCTTCTTTTTCTTTATATTCCCTTTACCTGGTGCCCACTTCACACCAGATTGCCTGAAGAGAGAATCTGATAGCTTTTCCATTATGCATAAGAATTATGTGTAATGATAATAATCCCTCTTGACAGACTTGAGATGTGCAGGAGCGTGGGCGGTATGGCTTAAATGGGCCTGCAATCCTTTTACTCAAATGAACAAAACAATCATCAACTTGATTTATGCATTGTCTGGGTGTAATAGTCAAATCATTTGCTCAAAATGAACAAAACAATCATCAACTTATGCATGGATTGTGTGATACATGATCAAATCACAAATTCTATGCCAATTGAGGTTTTTGCCCATTTTATCGAATTGTTGTTTTATCAATTGAAGTTGGTAACTCGAGGCCCTTCTGGCCGTCTAATTTATGAGGACAATTGATGTGAATGATCAAAGTAGACAATGATGCAAAAATATTTATGCCAGAAATCGTTAGTCAAAGTAGACAATGATGCAAAAATATTCATGCCAGAAAATGTTGGTCTACAAGTACGTGGATGACAAATTTTCAATGACTATGTCATGAGAAAGATTTTTTGTCATGATTAATGCAAGGAAAATTCATGTCAGATAAATTCATACACCATGTCAATATATGCGTTGATTAAAATAAAATAAAATAAAATAAAATGTGCATGACAAATACCCTAAGTACGGAATTTGCACAAAAATTAGAAGAGAATAGGAAAAAAAATATATAAGGCAAAAAAAAAAAATAATAAAAATAATAACAACATAGGTGCAAAATGCATATTCTATAACTCATTATGCCGACAACCAGCAAGAAAATATTGTCAAGAAACATAACTTCCCGAATCAGCACAAAGTTCTGAATCATAAAACCACAACACAGAAGCCAAAGCTCAGAATAAAATATAAAACTTAGCCGTCTCAAGATACCTGCAAAAATGACTAGACCAAATCAAAACGAACAATTCAAAGTCTTGTATGCCTCTACGCCTTAATGCGCCCGTAAAACTTCTGCTTCTCCTCAGTAGTCTGGAAGCGGCCATGCCCAAACTTGGATGAGGTGTCGATGAACTTGAGCTTGATCTCCTCGAGCGCCACACGTGATGTCTGGTTAAGCAGAGTCTGACGAAGAGTAACAACCCTCTTCTTGGGACCCACACAGCAACCCTTGATCATCAAGTAATCATCTTTCACCACACCATAGTGTGGAAACCCACCCATTGGTGTGATGTCTTTCTCAGTCCTGTTAATTCAACTTAAAT